GGTTTTCCCAGTATAAAGAATAAAATAAATAAATAACAAAATTACCATCATGTATTCTGCTAAATTTAAAACCAATCAGCGTTACGTAACTTTAGTATCGTGGCAACTAGCCCAAATCACCAGATTAGTGAAATATAAAATATACAAACGAGCAATTAGCATATTCACACACATACAAAAAAACAACAGGCTCCATCTTCTTTATTACCATCTTGCATTTTGCCAAGTTTGAAACCGATTAGACCTATCAAAGCTTAGTTATCGTAGTAACATACCGGTAGCTAAAATTACCTGGCTATAGTGCATTATTAATTACGCAAATGAGCAATTAGCATATTCAATCAACAACAAAAAATTTAGATGGATAAAATACAACAAAGGCAAGGCCTGACAATATTTTTTATTACCTTAATAAAAAGACAATCATATGCAATATAGACTGACACCATAAGAGTTTTTAACTCACACACATAGGCAACATCATCACATTCTACTCCAGTAGACAAACATTTTTCTAACATGGTTTGGATCTATAAAGCTTCATGATTACGCAATAATACATTTTGATGGTAATTAAAGGTATGTGTTTTAGTTCAACAATTAGGCCTACAGTGAAATTAAGGGGTGTTTATTTGAGTATACTTGTATCCATTTTACACCCAAAATATAAATGCTTTCCTCAGGTAAATCCCTTCCTCGAATAAATACCTCCCTCGATTAATTGCCCCCTCAAAACCCATTCTCAACGTACTTACTTTAACAAGATTAAGGAAACTGTCAACAGCGACATCTGAAGGTGTGTTGCCACTGCTACAAGGGAATCTTAAGTATTTCGTGTTTGGCCGAGGCAGTATATATTGGGCAAAAACTTGTTCAGTTGTCTGGAAATCATCCAAAAACTGTACATGATATTTGTGGGGATCTTCCATCAAGTTCATGACGTCGTCATAAAAATAAAACTGATTGTCTTCATCTGTCGTTGCAATCTCAACAACCTGAAAAGACAAAATTATAATAATTATAATAAATTTTACAAAATTAAAATATAAAACATAATTTTACAAAAGATTAAAAAAATTTGTTTTTTTGTGTTGTGTTGAGCAGGCACCTTATCTGCATTGCTCATTTCAACCAAGGAGCATCAGTGGGTACCTAAGGAGGTTTGAGTGCAAATTGTAAATTTAAGGGTGTTTTGAATTTTTGAGGACCCAGACCTACTGTAAATATATCTTTAAAAAAAAAACCAATGGGTCTAAAATGAAACATTCTATAATACTTTGTAAAGGTCTTGTAAAAAAATGATTAAATTTTTGTGACCATCCGCAGTATGGTGTGGATCTGAGGACCATTTAAAAGAAAACGTCTCAGACCACATGTGTCGAAAACGGATCAACTGATCTGAATGAAACATTCGGAAAAAGTTTAACCAAGTTACAAGGAAGAAATTATTGGCGACAAGTAAGTCAAAAGGGGTAAATTGAAAGGTCATTTCAATTATTGAGGACCCAGACCTAAATATCTCTTTAAAAAAAAATCAATGGGTATAATTTAAACCTTGTATAACAGTTTGTTAAGGTCGAGTAAAGAAATGATTAAATTTTTGTGACGATCCGGAGTAGGATATATATCTGAGAACCATTGGAAGCAAAACGTTCAAGAACGCATATTTCGAAAACGGATCAACCTATCTGAATGAAACATTTTTTATTAAGATCCCAGATGTAAATATATATAAAAAGATATATATTTATTTATTTGTTTTTGTCAAACTCATTATTAAAAACACAAATTCGAAATATGACCTACTTACGACGAAAAACAAAGGAAACAACCATACAATTAAACAACACAATTTGATAAAATGCCTGTATTAAAAACTTGATATATTTGAAAAGTGAGTAAAGTTTTCGTGCTTATTAAATCATATAATTTTTTTAAAAGCCTGAAATGGCTGCCCTTGAAATCCACGGCATCTGTCTATCATTACCTAACGTTTATTGTACCATAAAGCACACCAAACTTATTCATCTCACACAAAAAAAAAGTCACCTGTTAGGTCAACAAAACAGATGTTTTGATGTTGAACTCACTGCATTGTTGTCAATAATTTTGCATGATGTGATAAAATATTTGGAGGGAATTTCAAGATAATTTATCAGGGAAACTATCAAAGAAATGATAAGTGCTGCGGAAACACGGCCTTAAAGATACTGACTGCGGTAAAACATGGTCAACCCCATAACAATTTATTGCAAAAAAACAGTTTCTAACACAATATTTTAAAATAAAATAGTACAATATTATTTTTCTACCTTTAACTTTCGCCTCAATTTGATTTCTTAAATTTTATTTATATCATAATTAATTAAATAATTATCAATTTTATAGATAATTTTTTTTGTTTGTTTCTTTGTATAAAAAAAAATGTTAAAAAAAATAAATAATTTTTGGTACATATCACTTATTAAATAACTTTAAAAATATTTTACTTGAACATAGTGTAAACTAACATTGAAAGGTGGTATCATTTTAGTACTTCAGTGTTTTCCTATGCTCCCGTAGCCAAAGTATTAAAATATTAATAACACCTACAGGTAATTGGAAAAAACGTTCAAGGTATTAAAAGAACTTTTTTAACTTCAGAACCTCAAACAACAGAATAACTTACCTGCTAATATTAGAACTACTGCAACCGAAAAAAATATTAATTAATTCAAAAATTCCATCTATATTACTTCAAATGTGATTTAGTTAAGATTTTTACCATTTTGATATATTTTTACTTTTTTACTGTCTATATGTTTACATTACTTTTTCAGTTTAATTACTTTTTACTTAACTTTACTTTGTAACTGGACGATTTTGAAAATCAGCACTGAGGTACTGAAAATGCAATCCAGTAAAAATAAAGAATAAATAAAAAAATACAGTATTTAGGATTACCTGAATTTCCTCAAATGGTTAACCACCAACTAAGTAATTCCATGCCATTTCTGAAAAATTATATGCAATGCAATTTCTGCATAGTGCTTGAGCACGCTCCAGGTGAGTTAACATGATATCTTTAGTGTATCGACATAAACGTGCACATTACCCATAAAATTACAAGCACGCTTTTGTACTGATTCAATTTCATGAACAACTAGTCAGGATGGTAAAGTTCAGTAATTGGTAGTTAGTGAGCATACTGACTTTCCTCAGTTGGCGTACCAAATTTGTTCAACTATTAGGTATTATTTCGGAATAAATAATGTATAAAATAATACTAACAGTTAAGAATAAACAGCCTAGATTTATCTATAGTGTAGGCCTAAATATTATCAATGCATCACATTTAATATTGTTTTTAATTAAAATCTGCTCTGCTATCTCCCTTCTCATCATCATCATCATCATTAAATTTATACTTTAAAAGGATAAGAATCTCCTGTCATCTGTTCAATGGCCAACACAATTAAACATCCATGTTGTCAGGCCTGCAAGGCCAATTGAAAGAAACCATCATTCTAAAGGCAGATAAATATTTCAAGGTTGCTGTAATGGATTGGACAGAGTATGACAATTTTGTTGGACATGATGAAGCTAAATGTTTTCATGTGTACTGTACACAATGCAAATGCGCTTATTTTAGAATAACCTGTTAACATGTGATCAATACACCATTATGCTAACGGGAATCGCAGGACTTTATTAAAAATAATGTACTAAAGACAAATTGTTAACATAGCCAAAAGCTTTTAGCAAATAGGGCAATTCAACTGATATATAAACGCTTTACTTTCTATATATTTTTGTGGTCATTTGGGTGTAATTACACCACTTGTGTTTTCTTGTCTTCAAAATGATAAATAAATATATAAATGGTGGTTGACATCACAAATAAAAATTAAACTTTGGACTACGACAGCCACCAAAGAATCATTATTTTGTCACCATGATTCAGCTTAGCTTTAGCAACATTGATCACACTAATGAACTGAATCTAGTAGACGAAAAGTATCAGTAAAGTTCCGTTTAAACATTGGCTTATCTTGAAAAACAAGCACTTTAGGCGAAACTTCTTTTATACCTGTTTTGCTAACTTATTTTTTTACAGATCGTCAGAGGAGGGTGGAATAAAATAAAAATAAAAATTTGGTTTTTCATTTAGCAAATAGTTTTGCCAAAAACAAAAATAAAATTTTATTGGTAAATGTAAACAGTGTAGTAATTGGATGGTTAAATGCTTAAAATTAATATAATTAGAAAGAACTATATACATATCTTATTTTTTGGAGATTTCAAGGCAGCGGTGGGCATAATAAAGATAAAGAAAAACTTTTATGTTTTTTATGAAATTTCCATTTTTCGTGACAGCAGGTGTGCTAATTGGCCAAAAATAAAATCTTTTCTTTATTAAAAATCGCAATTTTTGGCGATTCTGCTAAACAAGGTACAAAAAAAGTTAGATGAAATTCTTTGAGAATATGGAATATATTTAGATAAGAATAAAAATAATTTACATTGACCAACTTATCTTATACCCTATGCAGACTATACTCTCTTGCAATCGGTTGCGATGTAATCGATGGTAATCCAAAACTGATTACTCCCGATCGCAATCAACGAACGCATTCAGACCAACACAAACAAACTTTACATTCTAGGGCCTAGGCCTCCGGTGTCTAGGCCTATGTTGCCTGACCTCAGCCAAACAGTGCCTGTGAAATCTGTTGTGATTCGTTGCGATCAGATTCTGTGGTAATTGGGAGTAATAATGATTGTAGCACCCAATCGCAACGGGTAACAATTTCGATATCGATTACATATTGACTACTATTGGTGAGCTTTCAGACACGATTTTACTTTGCGATTGGGTGTCGCAATTGTTACAACTGATTGCAATGCGATGCTAGTCTGAATGGGGTATTAATTTAAAAGGAATTACTTATGAAAATAATTTCTGGTGTACAGAAAATAAGTAAACTATGAATATATTGCAAGCTGTTCTTGTTTCAATCAAAATTTTGAATCTAGAGTCTTATCTAATCTGAGATAAGCGGTGTTAATTGAATTTCTTCTGAATTATACAGGACAAAATATAGGAAACTAATAAGAGATACTTGAGGAGTTCAAATTAATTAAGTATATTATGTATATATTAGTATGATATTAATCTTCTCTCCTCTCATAAAGGTAAAAATGAATGATTATCTACGACTCCATAGTGCTCTGTTTATATTGAAGCGATGACAGCCTGCCAGATTTCCTTGTTACATAGTAACTATTAAGTGGAGGACCAATAAACATTTATAATCATTTCTACTAAACTGATGATCACGGTACATACTAGTCATAAAGTTCATTTCCTGTTACCATGTTTCGTAACTCTCTTAAGCATTGCTGATTAAATTCAGTTTATGCCATTCAGTTTAAACTGATGATCCTCTTGCAATGAAATACGCAACATGTAAAAAATAATATCTAATTAATTTATGTGTTTGATAATTGGCAAAAAATGTTCTAATTTTGTTTTATTTGATATATAAAAGTAAGGAATTCAAATAATGAGCATTACTGATTTTTTTAAAGTTCAATATTTGAATATATTAGTTTTTTATGAAACTGTATACATACTTCTTTGGCTATAATGGCTTCAATCTCAGTAGGCCTTCCTCTGGACGAGATGTTCTGCAACACACTGTCCTTATTACGAGGAGTGTATGGTTTCAGGTCACCTTTGTGACTCAGAAACAACACTGGCTCATCTCGTAAATTCAAAAATATTACATCCTACATATAAAAAAGAAGAGAAAAGAGATGGAACGTGAAAAGCTGACTCGTTAATTTAAATGTAAATTGTACAAGTACGGTATATGTACAACATCCGTACGTTCAATTCCTAAAGATAAGTATTTCATAAATATTTGAATAGTTTCATCTGGTTTCCATCAAAAAAGGCTTGGTTTATTATCGATAAAACATCATGCTATGTTGTTATTTTCCCAATTTTCGTCAATAATACAACATTTAAATAACTTGGTGATGGTCTGCATGAGAAATGGCCAAAATTGTAAACTTTGATGGCTGATTTCTCAAATACTGTTCTTTAAACAGCTGTATGTTCATAAATGTCGGATTTAAATGATTCTTTTACCATTTTATAACTTTAATTTTACTGCTTATCCCTGTAAAAACAACTAAAAATCAATGTTTGTGAGAGTGACTGGTTTGATTTGTCTTTGCTACATATTAAATGTTGGTTTTATAGAAATGATTTTGAAAAATAAATGGTGAATGTATTACATTCTGAAAATGGTTTTAAATGAAATATTTCCTTGAATGAATATCGTTTAACTTTACACAGACCTGATCTGGTATTAAAATCAGTGACTCATATCATTTTGTTAGAGCATGATATACTGAAAGTCAATACTGAATTTATGTATAGTATCGTTAATTCAAACAATGCTAGTATTAAGTAAACTTTAAAAAATTGAGACGCTTAATTAATTTGAAAATAATTGCTTACCTCAATATTTTCTCTCTGTAGAAAATTCATAACATTATGAAGCCCATTCCCACTTGGCTGCCCCATTCCGTAAACGGGAAAACCGTGGCCGGCAGTTCGGAAATTAACAACGCCATACTTCGGTAATGTGTTAATCTCATCGATGCCTTTGAAATGGTCCAACACTAAAAAGTACATTCCCTGCAAATAAGAAATGTTTTTTTTCTTTTATCAGATTTAAATTAACATAAGAACATGCTAAAAAATAACAATATCAATAAGACAAAACCACTACTAGCAACAGTATTCAATATTGAAATTAACAATTTTAAACAATTCATACATTATTAACAATGAAGATATATAAAGAAACTAAATATAAAAGTTAGCATACATTTTATGTAAATATCAAATTTCTAACAATATTTAAAAAATATCAGTACTGAAACTGATATGACAAATAATTTATGACTATATATTTTATAATAAAATATTCATAAACATGACAGACAACCAATGGCTTTGGAAAATGGCAGTTGCATGCTGAATTAATAAAATACTGGAAAGACGACGTGCAAATCAGTTGATTTAGAAAGCCAATGGCAGAGTAGCTAATTGCAATAATTCAGCTGTGTTGTAATTAAAAGCATGGAGATTTTTTATGACAGGTTGTTAGTCATCTGTATGGGTTTTATATTAGTGAGAGGTTTCAGATGATACAACGACTTTTCACAGATGTTGGAGATGTGCTTGTAGATGTCTGACTCAAAGCTTATTACTTCAATGATGGCCATTGTTGAGGTGTTGTGATAATGACTGTACATTGACTCGCGCTGCTCATTGACTCGCGCTGCACACCGGCCCGCGCTGCACACTGGCTCACGCAGCACAACAGCTCTCGCTGCTTACCTACTCAAGCTGCACGACTCGCGCTGTTCATTAACTCGCGCTGTTCCTTAACTCGCACTGTTCCTTAACTCGCACTGTTCATCAACTTGCACTGTTCATCGTGCTGTCGACTCGTGCTGTTCTTCGCCACCCACTGTACATTGACTGACGCTGTTCATAGACTCCCACTGTATATTGACTCATGCTGTACACCAACTAAAGCTGTACATTGACCCACACTGCTGTACCGCGACTCACACGGTACACCGACTTGCGCTGTATACCGCTCGCCCGCTGTTCACTGATTCATACCCTGTTCACTGACTGGCACTGTTCACCGACTCGCTGTTCATCGACTCTCACTTTACTTTGACTCGTGCTGTTCATCGACTCGTGCTGACCACTGACTCGTGATGTATTGACTCTATAGGTAACATTTTAGTGTTATGGTCACCCAGTGTTGAGCTCTTCCAGCCATTTTTCATCGTCTCTTTTTAATGTTCCATCATACTTGTCATTTTAATATTAAGACAATAAATCTCATCTGGTCAAGCCTTTGTTGACTAAACTGACAACCCCCTCAGAATGTGTTTTAATGGCTGTTAAGAAGATGATGTTCAAGTAGTCATCTAGCACCAAAAAAAACCAAAAAAAACAAATGAATAAAATGTGGAAGCTACAAAGAGTGAACAGCCAACCAAAGTTCAAATCAAAACCAAAGTCCATGAAACTACTTTACACAAATCATGGTAGAGACATTCTTCCAATCCCAGAATCCCGAGTTCAAATTCTGTCAAAGACTAAGATTTTTCTGGAGACTTAAAACAACTCCCTTTCATGCATAATTTTAAGACTTACTAATAGTATAAATGAGAGTAATAATTTAATGCTAAAATGACATTTGGTTTTCAATGCTTTTATAACAAATTATTAGACCCGGATGCATCTTTCTTGGAATCGATCTCTTAGTGAGCAATTAACGGATACCGTATAACCATATTTCGAATGTATTCTCGTATTCGAGTAGCCTAAAAACAGGAATACCAGTATGTCTTTGCTACAAGAACCATACTAACTGCACTAGTTGGTTGGTTTCTAATTTAATTATAACCCACAAAAATTTGAAGATATTATTTTAAGGGTCATTTTGGAGGGGAAATGGGTAGATAGAAATCTTTCTTATTTTGGATACTCATTAGTATTACACTGTTCTTTCTTGAGGTCCAGGGTATGATCTTATAAATTACATTAAATTGCAAAAAAAAAATTAAAAGAGATTCCATATTAAAAAGATGTTCTAATATCAGCATACCAAATAATTCTGGCTAGCCTATTTAGTAAAACCTGGAGTGAATTAAGATGTGCAACTGTGCAATTGACCATACTGTACTACAATAATTGTAAAAAGACTTATTGACGGCTTGGGTAGTAGTTCAGTAATGAAGGGGTATCATATGGTGTTGACAACGTAGTACGCTATTCTTTAACTGATCTACCCTTCAGGGAGGTTATGATGTTAATGTCGCACAAATCAAAAATCCCACGGCCACAAATACAAATGCTGTAAATGTCATCAAGTTGGCTCAAGAAATTATGTATAAAACTAAAAAAAAATTTCAAAAATAATTTTTTCCAGTGGGTGGACAAAATATGTTTATCTGAACACACAAGAAATAATGATCAAATTATGCGGGCAGTGAGAGGGAATCATAATGCAATTTATAGTAATGATCTCTAAAATGTCTAAATTGACCAATGAGTTGACAAGCAACCAGAGTGCTATGTTAAAAGACTCAAGGATATTCAAAGGTTACTACAACAACTGTCTCTAAGGACTTGACCATACTTGCACTGTAGTAGTGTATTAATCGTTGTCAATCAACTATAAATTGTATGTATCTGACACTCACATATGAATATTAATGACTCACAATCTTCTTACATAATTAATGATGAAACACTATTCTCACATAAAATTACCTTATTCATATTCATAAATTAACACCTACATAAAATGCTTATTCACAATTATCACCATCTTAATGATGCATATTCATGATTATCACCATCTTAATGATGCATATTCATGATTATCACCATCTTAATGATGAATATTCATGATTAGAGAGGTTTCGCAATCCCATGAAAACGATAACGAAAGCATCATCATTTTTGTTAAAGTTTTAAGCTGATCCCCAATTATTTTGGTCACAGAGCATTGGGTTTTCGTGGATTCTTCATGATGATCAGCGAATATGCTCGTAAGTAAAAAACGAACATAGTTTTGAAAATATTTACCAACTTATGGTTTGATTTCAAACCAAGAAAATCTATGACCATGAATGGAGTTATTGATGGATAAAAATTAAATTGAACAATTATTAAATGTACTGACTTTAAAATATGAGAAATTGTACGGTTTGCTGTTGACAAAAAAGTTCAGCGTGACCCACAACACTCGCGCCAGCGTCCAGCAACTTTGTTGTAAACGCAAAATGTTGTACAATTCTCAATGCAGTTGGCTTGTTGGTTCCACTGAATTTCATCATTTAAAATGGTGGAACATATTCCCAACATAATATGGACGAAGAGTAGGAGTACTATAGGTAGGCAAATCAAGTTCAAGTTACTGTACTGTCATAAAATATTATAAATTAAACAAGAAATATTTTGGTATTGATTTTCAAAAACAACTTGAAAGTGTACATCACTAGGTAGCCTACCGATCTACATAGGCCATCCATAAAGGCCTACCTAGTAGTAGGCCTAGGTTAGCCACATCAGTGGGTTAAAAAAAGAACACAATATGATTTGACAAATTTATTTGGTTATTAATTTTTCTTCTGGTATTGTCACCTAAAGCCTAGCTAGAGAGTCCTAAACATAGGCCTGCCTACACATCGTAAATATAGCCTTCCAGCTGAGGCTAACCTAGCCTAACACTATGTTTTGTTATGCAGTCTAACTGTAAACAGGGAGGAACGCCAGCATCTGCCGGGGCTGAGGTCCCCGACGGGGTGTTGTGGGGGGGAGGGGCGATGCCCTGATGAGGGGTCAGATTTCCAGACGAAAGCAAAGTAAGTGAGTCAAGCTTTGATTAAAAGCATTTGAAAGACCAGGGGGCGAAGCCTGCAAAAATTTAGGTGTTTCAAAGGCTTATTTAATCGATTTTATAGTCTACTGATATGTACAAAATACATAATTTTTTTTTCTCCCTGACGAATTGTGCTTCATGTGTCCTAGTTCCTCGGCCCTCCCCCCTGGCGTCACCCCTGACTGTAAACGACTGCATACACAAAAGCTATCATAATAATAGAATTATATAAATATTCACACTATAACATAATTAAATGCAAAATAATAACTTCTGACGACTTAATGCAGATATTTATTGGCATTTACTTTTGAAATAACTTTTTTTTTCATTATACAAATTTGTTCAGTGTGTGCGAAATAGGATTTTTATAATTTGCGATAACGAGAACGAAAATGTGATGCATATGTGACGTAAGGCTTGCAACACCTCCCTATTATCACAATCTTAATGATGCATATTCATGATTATCATTATCTTAATGATGCATATTCATGATTATTATCTTAATAATACATATTATAAGGCATATTGTACCTGAATCAAAGCATGTTCTGAATTTCCTTCACTGATTGCTCCAAGAACAGGTTTTTGTTTGTCGATGTTAATTTGAAATTCTTCGCAGCAATCACGACTGATAAGTACGGGAGCAACATCATTTGTGATCACATGACCATTCCACTTCTCAGTGTAAACAGAATTCCTGCGATTAACTTCGGTTACCTTGAGCTCGGGTGAGGATGGATGTGAGGACACACTACTTCCACTACCCATAATGCACCTTGTTTTATAAATTTAAATAAAATAATTAAAAAAGATATATTATTCTATGTGAAAAACCATAGAAAAATAAATGGGTCTTAAGTTCGAATTAATGCAAGTTGCAAAGAGAAGTAAAAATATTATAATAATTAAAATATATGGATTACTGGAAAAAATGATGTGTGCAATAATGGCCTGATCAAAATATTGAAAACTTTACTGTAAATGTAATCTACAATGAGGCAAGTGGTTGGCGCAACGGTTGCTGCTAGGACTCACAACCCTGAGGTCAGGCGTTTGAAACCGTCGCTTTGCAAGTCGCAGTGTCCTAATAGCTTTAGGCAAGACACTTTATCTGTTTGCCTCTCTCTATCGAGGAGTATAGATAGGTACCAGCAAATGCTGCAAAGGTAAAACAGACTGTTGTGCAGGAGGAGTGGTGAACCCCTACAATCCTTGCACAGTTTGGCCCAAACACCAAGGAAAGAGAGATGGGTACTCCGGGCTATGAGGCCAGAGCTTCAGGTTACACCTAAGAAATAGAACCAACAAAATGAGTGACAAAAAATATAGAATTATGGAATAAATAATTATCTACAGTACTGCAAAGGTTCGATTATAGAACCCCTTCACCAATCATGTTGGATACATTTTTATGGCCGTAATTAAGGTGTGTACTTTACAAATATGCCTTTTCTTTGTTGTACATTTAACTAAAGTTATGGCAGGGACAATGTAATTGGTCAGAAGATGGTAAAACGTAGAAATGAGGTGTCAAATAAAGGAGATCTACAACAGCCCGGGGAATGCCACCAAATGCAGATACAGTAGGTGACCAGACGTGGAATGAAGAGTCAGTGAGGGGTAGCGTCATCGTAAACTGTGTTTAATGTAATTTTTTTCTAGGGTATGACCATAAGACTAGGCGTGAGACGAACAGTCAGTGAGGGATAACTCTATCTTAAACTTTTTTAAATTAATGTAAATCTGTTATTTTCAAGAGCGGTCAGTGTGTTCATTCTTAACCCTACATTATGTAATCATGCATTAACAGCCGTAGCAGCATATCATAATATAGGAAGAGTGCAAGACTAAGAGACTAACAAATAAAAGAATTCACTATAAATAGATACATTTGTTTATCTATAAAGCCACTAAACCAATATCACTCTTATCTGAAATGTATAGAATAAATTTGTATTATCTCACCTACAAATCTCTAGTTCAAAGACAAACAAACATAACAAAAATACAAAAACGATAAATTTACATTATATACTGAAGAATTTCTACTTTCTATAATGTCAGAATAATACCATAATGGATAATTTTTTTGATACATCAATTCATTTTCACTTGCTTACGACTTTTCTAATCACATCAGTGTTTCATTAAAACTGAATTTGTATTACAGTACAACACTGATAATTTACAGTCTTCCATTCTACTCTACTTTAATCCTACAGCACACAAAATTTATATAAAATCAATGTATAGTGCACAAAGGCATTGGAAATGGAAAATGCTTAATTTCAGTATTTGTTGGGATAATTTTTCTTTTATTATAAATACCTTTTTTAATTATCCATATTATTTAAGTGCTTGTCATACTAAATAACAACAAAACAGATTCTTTTTTTTTTTTCCCTTTGGGATGATCAATACCAAATTTAAGAAAAAAAAATCAGCCTGACATGTACTATAAGACATTGTCAGTAAAGCTGAAGACAATCCTTACATTACTGTTATGTGCACAGTAATTTTATAATACATGGGAGCAAGTTAAAACTTGGCATTTGAAGACAATGAGGCAGATACAGAAAAGTGTCTTACCTAAGAACCCAAGCTAAGATCGGCATTGGCTGCTGGATGTTTTAACGAACACTCGCTCCAAAGCATAACTCTTTTCTGACGTGCACACGGTTATGAAGCTTAATTATTTGAAAGCTTCAGATATTTTTAATCGTATGATAAATTCATTGATAGATGACTCGGTATACTGTATTTAATTTTGTTTTGAGTAATTACACAAGAAGTCCTCCAGGTATCATCTAAATATCATTCTTTCATCACAGGCACAATGAGGTAATTGATGTTGGATATTTTCGCTTAGATCCTAAAAATACGGCAGTCAAATTTTTTCGGTTAGATCATGGAAAGACGTTGATAGTTAAAATTAATGTTACGTAGCTGCAACGGTGATGACTTAAATGATGTCAATCTGGACATTTAAACGACCAACTTGTCATTGCATTCATTACTTGATGGCAAGAATTATGGACACTTAGATTAAAAAGCTTTTCAATAGCATGGTTGCCTAGCAACAGTTAGGAATATTCTATTTATTTAAGTAGGTACTTTTTACAGTTTATATGATGCAAAAAAGAAGAAAAGAATAATACAGATTTATGTGAGAAAAAAGTTTTATCAAGACCACCTGTTGACAATTAGTGTCAACAGTATATATTACAGAATCAATAAGCTATAATTAGAATACTTACATATATTAGCATATAAAGAGGTTAATTTATGCATTTAGAGTAATGTAAAGTATGTGTTGCGCATGTGAGGTTGTCAGTGCTATAATTATAGATAGCTGCTTTAATGTATTAATGCTGATTTTTTAGTAAGATGAAGTACACCATCAATAATTAATAAAATATAATGTATTTACTAGTAGACTCTTGTGATCCGTGCACTAGAAAAAAACATATAATAGATTGCTAATAACTACGCAAAAACTGTTATATATAAACCCAACCCCAAATCACATTCTCAACCCCCTTTACAATAAGTCCTCACCCAAAATCTCCATCCTCAAAACATTTGAAAAGATAAAAATTAAATTACATATAATATAAGCAGGGTTCTCACCACGCTGGTCGGCGGTGGTTTTCAGGCTGCCGACCACCACTATTTTTGGAAGTTTTTTTTATATAGTGGAAAAAACAACATACTGTAGGTTAACAATACATTCGTAACACGACTACTAGAGTAGTAGAGTAAAATGCTTGCTACAAGACAAAAGATATCAATTAAAACATCTCGGTGGTAACGTTAATTTGAAATCTTACTGCTATGCGTAGGCTTAGTATTGTTGAATTTTATTGAGCAACACACAATCGAATCGGCGTCGAATCAACGCACATGGGGAAACCCCTAATTATTTGCATGAATTTCTGTAAACAGTTTACAACTCAAACACAGAGGTTTGTTATTCGTAAATAGGTGTTAAATTATAGGAGGTGTCTATACTGTTTGTTAAATATTATATTTTTTCTATCTTAATATTATTCTGCCAAGTAATACAAGTTTCTGTATTTTATTATATGGACCAACACCATTTAATAATGGACCGCAATAGATACTGTAGGTAATTGTTAATGTTATACTTGCGTCTCGTCGCTGGCGTTTGGCAGAACTTTTCCGTTTCTCCACAGTTGCTGTGTCTTTATTTTTCTTAATTGTTGGAATGCATCGGACTTCAGTTTTAATTTATACTGTAGTCCCAGCTTTCTCTTAATGATGCTCACCTCAAACTGACAACTATTAAACATCCTTAAAAATCACTTTTTCCATACAATATTGAAAAAAAACTTCAGATTTTATAATAATTTTATAATATATAGAACATATTTTTTGTGAAAATCGTCAGTTTTAAGTCTTGTCAGCTGGTCTTTAAGTTAGTATGTATTTCAATCATTAAATATATTGAATCACTGTGTTAACTTTTGAAAAAGTGGAAATAGGCATAATCGTTTTCTTTTCACTCTACTCACGTCATGAAAACGTACGACTTGCGTGAGGCTGTTTATTCCCGATGTCTGCATTCACCCCAACCCATCAGTACTTAGTAGAGTTGATCACGTGCTCGCTACATAGAACAGCAAGGTCTTTCTCTCTAATCAACTGTCAATGGTGTTTTGGTTAGTGACAACATGTTGGAAAATATGTTTTTGTGTTGACTTATTTTATTTGTGATGATTAAATATCTTACAAAAAATTCACACATATTCTATGCACTATGATTGACGATGTTGTTTACTTCTTGCTCCATTCTCCGTAGAGTGGATCACATGGTCCCTGTACAACATGGTATTTCTCCTCTATGTTCCTCGCCCTCCATCTGGGCTTCACCCGACTATGGTTTAGGCGTTTGTGTTGTTAATTATGTGGGTAACTGTATTTGAATAATAATTAAAATTGTATTCACTTTGTAATGAATAAATATCGTACAAAATACAGGCTTTTAGGCCTAGAAGAATATCTTTTTGATTTTGTGGTTAATGGTTTTATTCAGCATGGAAGTTCCACGTTAAGGCGTAGGCCCAGCCCAGGCCTGGCTAAGTGTGTTCTTTCAAATGACCCGAGTAAAGTAGTAGAGTAAAAAAATATACATATTTCCAGCTAATAATATCACTTTTTTTATTTGAAAAGTTACACAATGATTTAATAATTCATTTAATTGAAATAAAATGCTACCAAGTCAAATACGTTTTAAAAAAACAGCAAAATTATAATTAAACAGCTATTACGAACTTTGTAGTTTATAAAATACATGCAAACTAATTCGGGGATTCCACATGTGCGTTGATTTGCTGTTGTTTCAGCCCGTGCCTTGTTCAATAATGAGTAGAAATTTTTTTTTTAAACATAGATTTGTTTTGGTCAAGCTTGTATTTTGACAGCACTATTTTTGGGAAGATTAAATTTTCATACACCACAAAATCATGGGTTCTATCATATAGCTATGATAACTACAACTTTTTTTTTTCCAGCTGGGGGGAGGAGGTGGTGACCACAACTCCAAAATGCCGGTGAGAACCCTGTATGAAATTATATAATAGGTACTGTATACAGTGGTGTTGTTTCAGGGACCCAAGTAGGAATGAGGACAGACATAAAAAAAGCATGTCCAATTAACCAGGATGTTTGGCTTTTAAGTATATCTTTTGAAATTTTGTGTATTATAATGATTATCATTCTACAGCACTATGAGTGGAAATGAATTGGAGCATCAGAGTAACCCCCTTCTTATGAAAGATGCAATTGAGTCCTTTAAAGTATGAGTGTTCTCTGAACATCCAATTCTACAGTAATTTCATATCCAAGACTTGGATTCTACCAACCAAAACCTAGATGAGGAGAGTTTAAAAAAAAAATTGATGAGGGGAGGAGGTATTTTTTTTATGGGGGGGGGGAGGGGAAGGATTCAAATCCAAAACTAGGTCTAGACTAGGCCTAAATTCCGGTGAAAAAATCAGACATTACTTGAGCATCAAATTCAAAGGGAAGGGAAAAAATTATAGTTAGTAGGCATAGGCGCCTAGGCTTTGTTCTTTACCTCGAACTAGGCAAGCCTTTGCCTAACTTTCTTTCTTGATGTCGTAGGTTAGTTTTTGCCCAACAACAACCAATCCAACCAAACACACCCATCACAAGAAAGACCACCCACATGATGTAATGTATGATGTAACAAGTTATTTTTAGCAGCAAGAGTCACTGTGAAACATATGAGGCACTGGGCAGGTCTCTTCAGGGACAGACCACAGTGTCGCCTATTTTTAGTATTGTGGAACACGCAAGTCTTCACGCTGGGAATAATTGATCCGATCAGCCCCCCTGGGCGGGTCTCTTTAGGGATAGACAACAGTGAACGTCTATTTTAGCCGCAGTAAGCGAGCAGTGTATTTTTAGGGACAGTAAACGAATGGGCTTTGTAATATCAACTTTATAGCGACCCCAATGTCTGATCTAATCAATTGGAAGAGGTTAAAGTCTGCCGAATTTCGAGCCAATTTCTTTATATTTTGTGAATTTTTTTTTTTTTTTTTTGCAGTTAAAATAAATGATGCAACAAAAAAATTAATAAAAAATAAAATTATTCCGGCATCAATATTTCCAAAATTTTTGATGGGGGCGGGAATAATAATCTAATAAATTTTTCTATTTGCCCTAAATAAGCGCCGATGTTAAGGCTGTAGTTGGTGGCACCCCTGCCTAACTACTCGTCATACTGTTGGCCTGCTGTATAAAGTACTGTACGGTTGTTTTTCATAATTAAATACCGGTAATGTTACGTTTAATTGAAAGGTGACTCAGTCATATAAAACTACAATGTTACTTAATAGTGTAAACCTTCCGAGTCTTTGTAAATTATTCAATGTAAATATTTGCAACTCAGGATTTCAACATTCTCAATCTCATTTTAATTCCCTGTCTACTGTAGACTTAAAATATTATTTGTAAAGTAAAAGAATATTACTGAAAACATTAATGTAATAATAATTCATACTATATGAAATTTTAGTTATTTTTAATGAAATTTTTAAATTATTATTCATTGGAACCAAAGAAATTTTTTCAATCATATTGCTATGTTTATTGTCCATCAATGTATATTATACAAACAATTTTAATTAAAGCCAAGAAAATGTTTGGCTTGTTGAAATTTAATACCACATACAAAGATTAAATTGTGTCTAAAATTCCATTATAAATAAATCAGTCAGTTAGATGTTGTTAATTAAAATGAGATACTTACCTAAATAACGAAGATGGAATTCATGATCTAATACATTCAGAGCATATTAATTGATAAGATGGCATGCTTTGTCTTATCTAGGCAGTTACTCACAAATTAGAGTGACATAAAACATAATTACTGTATTGCATAAACTTAAAGGTCATCTACATCAGCGTGAAATGTATTGTTTTAATCCCAGTTTAGAGAAACATTTTTATTCTCACAAATTCAACATCATAGAACAAAAATTGTAAATAAAATTCAATTTACTTTTAAATGCTGCAAGTGCCATCAAATATTAGCATACATGGAAAGGGGGGAGGGGGGCTTAGGGTACATCCCACATAAAACTAAGCTTGCGCACCCCCCCCAAAAAAAAACTTTCTGAGAAATATATTTTGCTCAAGTGGTTGAAAACTACCTCATATAACAATTTTCCCAGCTAATTTATCCTTCCTCCTCACATCAAATTTTAAAAACAATGTTGAAATACATTAATAATACTTACAATTTAATGCTTGAATTTAAAGAAAAAAATGTAAATTATGTAAGTCTATAAAATTACATAAACATACTAAAAATATCAGGCAAATAATAGTGATGTAGATGTTGGTAATTAATGACAATGATGATTAACACTTT